TTTATTTCTTCCCACTGAAGTTGGTGCTTTTTTGTCATCTCATTTCTAGTTCCCTTGTCATTTTCTACCATGCTCACCTGCAGGACTTCTCCTGAGCCTCTCCCATCCTATGGAATTCCCTACCCCAATCTGTCCAACTATCTCCTACTCTGGCGATCCCTGAAAACTTCTCTTCAGAGAAGCCTATCCTGCCTCCACCTACCAACGATATATGTATTTTCTACATCCGCTCATCCGCCACAGTTATTACCTTTTGTATCACTTGACCCTCCCCTTGTAGATTGTAAGCTCTAACAATCAGGGCCCTCTGATTCCTCCTGTATTCAATTGTATTGTAACTGTACTGTTTGTCCTCATGTTCTCAAGTGCTGCGCAAACTGTTGAATCTATATAAATCCTGTATAATAATAATATTACTGACTACTATTGTCAGACCATTTTTTCCACCTACTGACAACTGCCTTTTTGCATTTCTTCCTGGCTTAAGAATATGAACTATGACCACTGTGTTCTACACCATGAACACATGTTGTTGGGGGGCCCATTAAAAATGATGCTACAGGGTCCTGTGATTTCAGGTTATCCCCCGGAAAAACATTCACTAACTTTGATAGAACTGTCAGTGGACTGACATATTACCCAAAGCATTTAATGTGTGTGATAATACTAGTGATGAGAATTTCAGGAGCAGCCTCTGCTAAGCACATTAATTATTAAGGCTAAAAGTGCTTAATGCAGACAGCAAATTGATTGCTTTACAGGCAGGTTGCCCTTGTATTTCCCAGTATTACAGTTTACATTTAGATCACATCTCTTCTTCAGAATTAAAATGTGTACATTTAAGCACTTTTTTAGGGTATGTCTACACCCAAGAACAAAAAAATATATTGCAGCTTACCAGTCCTTAGATGTGGTGGTTGTATTAGTTTTCTTTATCAGACTTGTTTTTTCTTTATTTTTACCTGGTGATCCTGCCAGTAATACACTTCTTGTGCTAGAGTGAGAATGATCACTTACTGTAGCTCAAGTACACAACCACCTACAAATCTCTACCAATCTGGAGTCTATGGTGACTTCATAGTAAATAAAAAGCTTAAATTTAAACAACAGTTGTAAGCAGGTTGAAATGCTGGGTTGTAAGACAGCTGCTGCCCTGTCTGGGCGGGAAGGGGTTAACCACTTTCCTGAACTTTCTACTGGGCTCTGCCTCTCTCCCTGTGCTAGTATAAAAGGGGGGGCTCTGCCCAGACTTGTTCAGCCTGCTGCATGGGAGGAATAACACAGAAAGCCAGCAACATGTAATCTGCAGCTACTGCCTCTGTTGGAAAGTATGCACACTAGCATGCCTTGAGATTGTCTGGTTTTCCCATGATCATGTAGGTGGGAATGCTGGGACCGGTGGTCCTCCCCAAAGACACCAGCTGCTGGACTCTGCCAATACCTATGGACTATTCCATGAATGTAATTCGCCTTTGCAGGTATGCTGGGGCAGCACACAAACCTGGGTTAGGGTTTAGGCACTTTTCTAAGTAAAACTTTTTAAGTTTTGCATTCTGCCTTGTCTGAAGTGCAATGCAAATAACTGACACATTTTAAACTTTGCTCTCAGCTTTGGGTCACTAGGCGCACTGAGATATAAAGACAGCACTTAAAGTTCACCTTTTGCTAAAAAATTATAAATGCACATTTTTTTGCAGGTAAAAAACATGTGCACTTATTTTTTTTGCAGGAGCCTGGAAAGCATTGCACCAGCAATCAGCACACCTGTCTGTCTGCTTGCTCGTAGGGGATGTACAGGCAAGCAGATATACTGACAGGAAGAATCAATTAACTACCACGGCAAGCCACAGCATTGTGGTAGTTCACTGAGAGCCTTAGCAGCTCTCGGGACTTGTAGTTTCTAATTCACAGAGGACTTTTTTTTAAATGTTGACAGCTAGAGGGAGGGGAAGATACCCGCTAGCTGTCAAAATGTGGAGTGGAGGCTGGTCTATTCACAACATGTTACACCCTGAATATCGTTGTAACATGTTATGAAAGGTAAACTTATCCTTAAAATTGTCATCCTGGTGCAGTATAGCAAGTGGTTCCCGTGGGTAATGGTTAGGCAGCCTGTTGTTTGCATGTACTTGTTGTAGGTGGGATGGCCTTCATCAGCAAGTAAGATGTTGTCAGCATTCCTTCCACCAGAGGTCTGCCTCCCATAGCAATGGGAGCAGATTGGCACCACAGAGGTACAGAAGCTCAAGAGCTAAGTCAAGTGCACATACAGAGCCCATGTTAGGTGCACGGTGGGACCCCCCATTCTGCTACCGAGAGAGGTAATGGAAAACGCTGGACAGGTGGATGTGGACTCAGTGTGGACCTCCTAATTGCAAGTCAACAGTGAAGATGTGCTTTGGCATGGGGACCCGAGATTTAACTTAGGGCAGTTGTTGTGTAAGTGTACATGGTGTACGTTCATCTCTAAAGGTAGAGGTCTGCCTTGAGGTTGAGTATTCCCTGATGGCAACCTCAGCCTTTTCCCAGGGCATTGATGAAAATGGCACAGAGTAAAGGTACCCCATGTGTAACGTAAAGCAATCCTGTTACAGGTGCCCAGCGTAGCCCAGAACAACCCACCCTAGGGTAGGCCTCCTATGTGACCCACGCTTGGCGCCCAACAGGGAGGGGAACATGGAGGGAGTATTACCTGCCTGCCCTACACATTAATTAGATTACAATGAACATTTCTCTATAACAATATATAAACCATCAAACTAATAATCAACCAATCAATACTTTAGTAACGATGTCCCCATTTTACGATTACACTGTTCAACAGGTAAAAAGTTTTGGGCATAAAATTAGCTAATCTTACATAATTTTGGGGTGCTGAAAACGAAAATGACCCTAAAAAATGTTGATTGGCTCTAGTTTCCATGATATATTCACCCATCTAATGACGTAAGCCATTCAAAATTATGATGCAACTTCAGCTGCATATTGCGCAATTGATACTGGTGACCAATAGAAAATTGCATGTATACTGAGATGATGCAATATTAGCCTTTAATTGCATCACTTCACTGCATAAAAGCTGCAGTATCTGTAGCTGATTGTAGTTGGACAGCGTCTTTACATTTCGTTTTATGCTTATATAGGCTACTCAGTAATGCCTCGAACTTGTGTGAATAAAGCAGATAATTTCTGCTATATCTGCGGTGAAATAACTTTTATCTCACAAAAAAGGAGGATAACAGGAATGATTAAGAAAGCCTACAACTTGTATTTTGGCTGCAAGATAGGAGACCAGGACAAGAGCTGGGCACCACATATATGCTGCAATTCTTGTGGGACGGCACTGGAGCAATGGTTGAATGGAAAAAAAGGCATCTATGCCTTTCGCTGTGCCAATGATTTGGAGAGAGCCAACAGATCATGTTAGTAATTGTTACTTTTGTATGGTGCCTCCAATTGTAAAAGGGCTAAATAAGAAGAAAAAGTTATCTGTGCACTATCCAAATATTCCATCGGCAATACGTCCAGTTCCTCATGGAGAGGGGCTACCAATTCCTAAAGCACCAGAATCCTTCGTGGTTGAGTCAAGTGAGGAAGAACCTGAAGCGTGTAGTCACGTGCAGTTGTAAGAGATAGCCCTTTCCTCGAATACAAGAGAAAAGCCAAGAGAAGCAAAACCGACACAAACTGAAGACAAAACTAGTGAGAATCCTAAGTATTAAAATGATTCAACTTAGCTTATGGCTATAATTTTTCTTGGTAATCCTATGCAATATATTATGCCATTTAGGCTTTGTTATGTAGTCAATATCACTTGCTTTATATTTGTGGAAAGACATCTATCTATATAATTATTGTGCATTATGTAGTCATTACGCCTATAGTAGCAAACTTTCCGTTTACAGAAAAACTAGAGCCAATTGACAAATTTCATTGTTATATTTGAACTCAGAATGTGAAATTCATTAAGAAATGGATCCTTTTGTTTCCAAAACTGGCAAAAAATAAAAATTTGTTGAACAGTGTTATTTATTGTGCAAAACATGTGCATCAAAGGATACAACGGTACAACAAATCCCTGTTAAAATCCCTCCCACCACGACTAGGAGAGCCCTCTTATGCAGTAAATGATTTCAAAAGTGCTATTACTTCCAGGACCAAATGTCCAGAAGAAAGAGAAGCTTATGAAAGGAAGAACCAGCACAGTCAAATGTACATTTATGTGCATCATTATGCCAAACACAGATGATATGTACACACTGATAGAAATGTGTAAACAGTGGCATGCAATACTCTATATTAAATAAACACCCTCTAAATACTTATCATAAAGTGCTCCATGTCAACCTCTAATAATCAATGAATGAAAAAATATAAAATCATGAAAAATGTGTCTTATCTACGTGTACCAAATAACTCATGTGTACCACTTTAACCACTAGCCTACTGGGCATTTATACCCCCTTCCTGCCCAGGCCAATTTTCAGCTTTCAGAGCTGTCGCACTTTGAATGACAATTGCACGGTCATGCAACACTGTACCCCTATGAAATTTTTATCATTTTTTTTTTAGACAGATAGAGCTTTCTTTTGGTGGTATTTAATCACCTCTGGGTTTTTATTTTTTGCCAAACAAACCAAAAACAACTGAAAGTTTGAAAAAAAAAATTTTTTTTTCTTAGTTTTTGTTTTAAAATTTTGTAAATAAGTGATTTTTCTCCTTCACTGATATGCGCTAATGAGGCTGCAGTGATGAACACTGATAGGTGGCACTGATGGGCACTGATTGGCATTGACAGGCATCACTGATGGGCACTGAAAGGCAGCACTCATATATGGCACTGATAGGCGGCACTGATAGGTGGCACTGATAGGCGGTACTGACTGGCACTGATAGGCGGCACTGACTGGCACTGTTAGGCCGCACTGACTGGCACTGTTAGGTCGCACTGATAGGCAGCACTGATGGGCGCTGATGTGCACTGATAGTTGGCACTGACTGGCACTGATAGGTGGCACTGACTGGCAGCACTGATAGGTGGCACTGACTGGCATTGATAGGTGGCACTGATTGGCACTGATAGGTGACATTGAAAGGCAGCTCAGATGAGCACTGATATGTGGCATTGATGTGCACTGGTAGGCACTGATATGTGGCATTGATGTGGCACTGATGGGCACTGGCAGGTGGCACTAATGAGCACTGACAACTGGCGTTGATGGACACTGACAGGTGGCACTGCTGGGGCTACACTGATCATCAGGGCACACTGATCATCAGTGCCCTGATGATCAGTGTACATGTCCCCTCCGAGAAATGCCGATTACCAGCTCTCCTCTCCTCCGTCAGCGTGACAGCTCGTGAGGAGAGAAATGCCGATAACCGGCATTTCCCTATTTACATGAGATCAGCTGTGATTGGACACAGCTGATCACATGACCGAGGGACACAGATCACAGCCGATCACTGAGCTGCGCGCTCCCGGAGCCGTGCATGTGCGGTTAGAATGGGAGGACTTCATATGACGTCCTCCCAGAACAAGAGAACCGCCTTGCGCCCGTCATTGCCTTATATGGCGGGCGGGAGGTGGTTAAATATAAAAATGAAAAAGATATAAAATATAAAATCATAAAAATTGTGTCTTACCAAAGTGTACTAAATAATCTGTATGTACCACTTTAAATATAAACGTTTCATTAGAATGCAACTGTAGTCTTACATAATAATTTCTTCTCATATATTAAGTGTATTGATACTGTGCAATACATTAGTCTATACACATTCCTCTCCAATATTATAAAATATCCGTATGTATAGGAATGTTAACCATGTCAACCATAAAATGACACTTATATGATTGCTATGTTTACACCACCATGTATCAAAAATGTCAAAATATAATGTCCACATGTACTCAATTATCCATATGTCCACAGTGTGTTCCTTGTTATATTCAAAGTGTCCAATATATACAAAGCTTCAGAAATTCTTCAACTTCAATAATCTCTTATCACCAATGTTTTATGTATCCTTCATTTAAAGTGCATATCCTGTCACCACAAAACGTATGCTCTCACCTTACAAGCAGACCCAACACTTCATTAGGTCATATGCACCTTCCCCTTTACCTGGGGTTCTTCAATATCTCAGCATTGATCACCACTCCATCCACCAGATGAATTACAATCCAGATCCATCCTCCATGATGTTTCAGACCAGGGCAATGGAAAACTCAAAAAAGTAGGAATATATAGTGCTCTCTGCTTCCACTTAAATATTTGATTAAAAAACTTTAAGTACTTGTCTTAAAAAGTGCAGTCCACATCAGTGCACTAAGGTAACAGGCAAATAAGTATGTAAACCTCCAAAAGAAAACCACTTGCACACTTCCTGATAGTGTTATAATGTCACCGGCTCCACCCAACGCGTTACGTCAATCACGTGACTTCTTCAGAACCCAAAAAAAAGGACCTACGGTATCAGACACAAACATCAAAACATGTATCAAAAGGCCGTAAGCGGCTTCAATAAGGCTAATCACTTGTATCTAATGACATTGTCCATCCTAATATCTTGTGTGAACCTTTGGGTTTTAAAAAAAAAAAAAACTTCATAGGTGATATACATCAAAGGATCCCCCCCCAGTAAAAAATTGTGACCCAAGTATATTAATCAATTTGATACTATAAATCATCTGTGTTATGTCGCTGTATACTTCAGAACCATCACTGACATACCAATGTCCGTCATAGAAATGTTTTCAATATGTACATTGCTGTCTGCACTTTTTTATGTAAAAGTCCATGTCCACTCTACATGTGCACTCAAATAGGATCATTGGGGACCCTCATCAGTTACCTTGGAACCTACTGAACAACATCACGCATCTGTGGTCTAAATCCCAACAATATGGGGCAAGTAATACAGTGTAAGTCCACAATACTTTGGAAAACACTGTCACATCCCATATGAGCTGGCCACCTATAGAGGACACAATCTCCTGTAGTGGACACGACAGCTTGGTACACTTGTAAGGCAAGAATTTGAATTAAACGTTCAACGTAAATAAGGCATCGTGCTGTAAATGTCAGTGGCCCTTCTTAAATGTCCAGTTCTTCAATACCAAGTGTATACTCACATTCCAGCATATACAGCTGTGATATCACATAGGCAAGGGTAATATAGTGTCCTTCCTTATATCTGAGGTCCTTGCAGGAAGGCAATGGTGGGTGTTTTCTCTGTTTATATGCATACCTTATATCTTGATGTCTTTGGCTGGTCACACAACACCATGGAATTGCTTCTTCCTCTGGTGGTGGGTGGTCCTGCAAACTGCAGAAAGCATCACCATGCAATGACTGTGCCCTGTTTCCTGCAGCATTTTACTGTGAGCCCAGGGTAGCCTGATGACATCCCCCAGAAGGCAGGTTTTTGATGCCTTGGGTTCACAAGAAGTGGTTTGAATGATGCTCAGCCCAGAAAGGGCACCACATTGGACAACAGAATCAGTGAGTCCTTGGGGGACAGCTCTGGAGAGAAGGTGCATACAGTTGGGAAAATAATTATTTGATCCCACAAAAGATGGTTCCTGGCTGGGTCTTCCAGCATGACAATGACCCAAAACAAGGCAACAAAAGAGTGGCTCAAGAAGAAGCACATTAAGGTCATGGAGTGGCCTAGCCAGTCTCCAGACCTTAATCCTATGGAACATTTATGGAGGGGGCCGAAACTTCAAGTTGCCAAGCGGCGGCCAAGAAACCTTAAGGATTTAGAGAAGATCTGTAAGAAGGAGTGGACCAAAATCCCTCCTGAGATGTGTTGCAAACCTGGTAACCAACTATAAGAAACGTCTTATCTCTGTGCTTGCCAACAAGGGTTTCTCCACCAAGTACTAAGTCATGTTTTTCTTGGGGATCAAATACTTATTTTACTCACTGAACTGCATCTCAATTTATAACATTTGTATCATGTGTTTTTTTCTGGATTTTTGGTTGATATTCTTTCTCTATCATTTAAAACACACCTTTGATAAAAATTATAGACCCTTCATTTCTTTGTAGGCAAACTTACAAAATCAGCAGGGGATCAAATAATTATTTTCCCTACTGTATTGCGGTACAAGCTGTAATTTTATTTTACAAAGGCCTCGGTTGTTATTTTCCTTTTTTTTTAATCAAATTACTGATGTAGTATACAGTACATGCAATATATATCACACAATTTAGATGACCCAACCTGATTTGCCAACAAAGTGTTATGAGAAAATTTTCTCTAATATGTTCTTTAGCAACTGAATTAGTCGCTATGTTCTGGACAGCTGTTGCTATTTGGAAACGTGACATAGCTGACAAAAATGGTAAATACAGTATTTGCTGGCTTGAGTATTTCAAAGGAAAACATAAAAAAGAGACAATAGGTTAAATATAATTGTTAAGAACTCTTTGCGTGCATTATGGTTTTGGAGAGAATGTGAATTTGACAAACAATTATCCCAAAATACTGTGTTCTACAATGTTTCTATGTGCACAGTAAACTTCACCATGCTTTGGAACAGAAAAATATTTTTAGGGTTTGTTTTTGTTTTGTTTTTTAGATCAGAAGCCAATGGTGGGTGCCGTACATATACCCAGTCAAGTGACTGGCCTCAGATGATACACAGAGAAGAAACAAATCCTCCTACATACGTTGAACCTGTTTATCTGCAGTCTTCTCTTCTCTACATCCATTGAAAGTGCTGAATTTATAAAGCTTATCTAAGAGTTTAGAAAACAGGTGGTGGATAGCTGAAATTACACACTACAGATCTCAGTGTGGAGAGCGCTGAGAGCTGATAGGAGGGAAGAGACACCCCCTCCACACAGCTCACAAGAACAGAGCTGAGGTTGTCAATCTGCTGAAGGTCCCTCCCCTATCACTTTTTTTCTCTTGGTGTCAGGAAAATTTGTCAGAAGTAGCAGACGGAAATGGCACCTAATGCTCCTAATTAAGACAAGTACACACTATAGAGTGATCTGTTTTGTTTTTATTTCATGTCTGAAGTTTCAGCCCCTTTAAATCTTGGTGCCTTCGGCTGGTCACATAACACCATGGAATTTCTTCTTTCTGTATTTTGGATTATCTAGAAAATAATATAGATTTTGAAAGACAAATATTGCCAAAACGCCTTGTGTGTCCCTAAAAAGGCATTTTTGGTATTAATTACTGGAGGGGTGGAGCTAGACAATGGTATAGATCTTGTCTGTAAATTTAACCCAATGGGTGTTCTGGACTAACCCAAAAGGTGTTCAGGACTCATTCCATAAGGAAACTTTTGTCCTTAGGCTGCTCAACTCATGCAGAGACCTTTGTGTTGGTTGGTGGTCCTTCACCAATGTGGCATTGGTATAGAGTGAAAGAGGAGCACTTTATACAATCAGTCATATGTACGGATGGTTAATATGCAATTTTTTTTATTAAAACCATTAAAAATGGGAGCAATTACATTTTGGGTATATCGAAGGGCTCTGTGACAGAGTTAACAAAAGCACAACTTGCAAAAGAAGAAGGTTTATATGCACTCACTGTACTGTTCTCCTCTGATCTTTGTTCTGTTAAAGATCTAGGTTCACCAGAAGAATCTTCACATTCAATACTTTTGGTAAAGTGCTGGATGCCTTCTGTAATTTCTCCCGCTGGTCCCTACATCACTATGGTACAACAGGTAACCAAAAACACGTGTCACTGTGGTTGCACTGCAAGCAATTAAAGACCGGAGGAATGGGCAGTGAAATAGGGAATATAAAATAAATATGTCTTCTTTTGCAGATCAAAGCGTTTTTTACTTAAAACTGACATTTTTTTAGTTGGCAACAGAGTTGCCTTAAAGAGCAATTCCAACTATGGATATTTTTACATTGGTCCAGCCTGGGTCAATGTAGCTATGCTTATGCCGTACCTGTGGGCTCCCTCAAGAAGCTATAAATCACTGTAGTAGATTCCAGTACTCCAGTGATCTCCACTAGCTTTTGGGTCCTGTGCCCAGTGGCTACCCAGCTACACTGTGCTTGTGCCAAGCGGACTTCATCCTGTGTTTACAATGCAGCAAGACAGCAACTCAGCCCAGGATCCAGAAGCTAGTGGAGATCACTAAAGGAGCAGTGTCTACTACCATGCTTAACAGTTTTCTAGAGCAGCCAGGGTTCCTACAGAGGTTGCAAGTGGTTCCTTGAGCTGTGGCAGATTGACCTCCCATCTGATGGTGCTTGCATAGTTACAGGGCCAATGCCACTTGGTAAAGCCAGTGTCAGAGATGCAGGGTGTGACCAGAAGTGTGTGGACTGACACAGGGAAACGCAGGCTTCAGATATGGTATAAATAAGACGCTTTATTAAAGACTAACAATACCAACATAAACGCAGTGCACCAAACCCCAAGCTAACACAAATACATACAACAAGGTGAAACAAACCCAAACCTAAACTGATACAGATACCCAGGTACATACACATGTAGAGCACAAC